TGTCTTTCTCCTATTGAGGGAACGCAATACAATCAAAGCGGCACGAGGCACATCACAATGTCAATCCGTGCTTTTACTTTTCCAGCACCTTCCCGGGAAATGCGTTTTCTGTCGGCGCTTGGAAATGGGACGTTTTTGTGATGAGGTTTTTCAGCCCCTCCAGCCTTCGTGCTTTCATACACACGGCCAGGTTGTCTCTCCTGTAGAGGCGTTTTGCTGGGTTAACCTGTTTACTGTGCACGATGGTGCTGAAGTCTACAGTATTACAGTGAATGCTTGTCGTTTTCTGGGTTTCTCCTGCTGCTTTATTTTGAAATCATGTCATGCGAGTGTGGTGTCGTCTTTTCCATGCTCTCTGAAATTAACACTTGCAAGTGAAATTTTGGCTTTGGCCTGTAACTTTCAGGAAATGCTTTTTGAATTGGACTGTGCATGGAATACACATAGTATACTACGCATACTATTTTTGCAGTATACATTATGGTTCATAGTATGCAAATGTCCTAATACTTAGAAAAATGTGCAATATGTAATAGAACATTTTGCTCGATTTGGTTGTTTCTCACAATGCAATGCATTCATCTTGAGCATTTTTTCCAACTCCTTTTTTTTCAACATTGTTTGATCAGATATTTGTTAAAGTACATTTTAAAATAGCAAAATAACAAATTAATAATTTATTGCTGAGATTATATATATATATATATATATATACATGCATACATATACACACACAAACACACAGTTTATTAATAGTCTAAACACATTAAAAAATGTATCTAGCCATGTTTTTCATACTGAACATTTACACTTATTGAACAGGCCTTTATCCACACATTAAATCCTAAGCAAACTCATTTCCTTCGTTTAGTCCATTGATTTTTCATCATATTTATGAGGCATGTGCGTCTTTTAGGCTTGGAAATTTTCATTATGTTTTTTATTGGAGTTTTATCGTTGCTCGTAAGGCGCTCCTCTCAACCTCCAATTATGCCTCCTGTGTTTACTGAAACTGTATTCATGGAAATGTGTGTTTGTTTGAGCAGAAACACAGGGCGGCATTATTAGAAGTGAGAACATGAGCAAACACGGCACAAACTGAATCCAGCGCACTGTGGATTGATTGCATAAAAGCAAACAGAGCTGAGAAATTAATTTTAAATACGGAGAAATCTAGTGTACCTCTGTTTCTCGCAGAGATGGTGCAGAAATTAATTTTGATGTCACATTGTGTGCTTTGCTGTTTGAGAGCGCTGATGTTAGCACGCTAATTTGAAACTGTAGCTGGACAAGCTATAAGATACTCATGGTGTAATTTAATTAAGTAATTAAACTGCACTCTTATATCACTCCAAACCTGTGTTACGTTTGACCATGAAGCACAAAAGGACAGATTTTAAAGAATTATACTGGTCGAGGTTGGATATGCAGTTGTAATGAATAAGGACGGGAGCTTTATGCTTCAAAAATATTGAAAATCGCCATACATGAGTCATAATAGTAGAATACACCATTATGCCAGGTCCTTATATATAATGCATACACTACCATTTACTCAGTAAAAGATTTCTATTTTAAATACAGGTGCATGGATCATGTGACACTGAAGACTGGAGTAATGATGCTGCAAATTCAGATTTGATCACAGGAATAAATTACATTTTTAAAAATATTCATATAGAAAACAGTTTAAATTATTGCTGTTTTTCCTGTATTTCTGATCACATAAATGTAGTGAGCATAAGATATTTCAAAAAAAAAATTTTTTACATTTTATCGTCCCTAAATTTAAAGGTATAGATGACCCCAATAATTCAAATATTTTAGTACTGGGGTCCAAATAACATTCATTGTATAGACAAAAACACCCCACATCTTTTAAAACATATTCTCCATATATTCTTCTAAAAGAAAGAAAGTCATGCAGGTTTGAAGTGACATGGAGTTTACAGGGAGAGTAAATGATGACTGAATGTTTATTTTTGGGTAAACTATTCCTTTAAAGCTCAAACTTTTTGTACCACTACACAGATGAGTTAGTATTCACTACTTTAAGATAGTAAAATGATTTGAATGGACAATTTGTGTAACATAAACTAGTAATAGGGGTTCACATACATACAGTATTGGTGTATCAGAAGCATAGTCTCCACTCACATTATACTTGTTCAAATGAAAGACTTTTGTAATTAAACCGATAAAGTTTGAACCACCGTGCTTCAAAAAAAAAAAATTTTTTATAGCCAGCGCTCATGGAGAAGCTCTGACCTTTCGGGAGAAGCTCTGACCTTTCGTCTTCAATTATCAAGAACTAAATTAATTTCACCCACTTCTAGCGCCAAAAGCTTTGTACTCATGCCTGAGCATTGTCATTGTTAGCTTTAAACAGTCTTTCAGCTGTGTTTGTCCTTTCAGCCAACTGTAATAGTCCTCCTTCCACATCTAGCACTCTCCAGTGGCATTAAGACCGGATTGGCCTCCATATTGAGGGTCAGAAGTCAGCGTACAGGTTTGCAGTGGAGTGCGCTAGTTGGCGTTCGTGGCTCGCCAGGGCTTTTCCATTTTTCCAGAGCTTAGCCATGCTTCAAAACCGTTCCTCAACGAGCCGCGGGCACCTGGCACCACTTCTCACGTCGCCTCTTCAGCCTGATTACTGCGGTAGAAGAGACCCTCGACGATCGGTCTGCTCCTGCGAGCACAAAGTGCTAACTACCTGAATGCACGAACGCAGAAGCGCTTTTCCAAGTCTTCTGAAGACAACAGCTTGACAACGTGCATCAATCTCTTGCTCTGATTGTCAGGTGTAATGCCTTTTTAATTGCACGGGGAAAAGTGAAAATGGCTGCACTAGTGTTTTCTATATGTCAGCCTCTATCAGCGGTGGACAGATGCGGCGTTAGGCCGTTTATTTATTTATTTTGTTGTCGCTGACACAAAAGTGCCACGCATCGCTCATTGTCTTTCTGTGCTCAGATTGAGCACCATGCTAAAAATGGCTTGAGACAAAGCGTCTCTCCTCGCCGCACGATCTGCTAGCGTTTGCACAAAGACACAGAGACGGGCGGACTGCATAATGCGTTTGTCAGCGGGCCGATGAGTCAGCCGGAGAAGAAACGGCCCTCCGGTTTGACGTTTCACCTGACGCTGTGCTTCTCAGACTTTGAGGTTAGCTTAGCGCAAATTCAAGACAAGTCAAAGGAACACGATTGGCGAGAGTGAGCTGGAAAAAAGGACCTGTGCTTAGTGAACTATTTTTATAAAACTTGAAATAATAGTCAGTTTATGTAGTTACAATATAAAAGAAAATCTACAATAAAAAGTTTGCACATGTGTGTGATACATCAGGCTTTTATGTCTCATATAGTATGGTACTGGAGAAATACCCACAAAAATCCACAAATTGAGCTAAAATATGCAATTTGGCAAAATGCTAATGTTTATATGGCCAAAAAGAAAGATGAAATTCTGGTTGTAATGTAAATCAATGAGATCTTTATACCTGTATAGCAGACACTTACATTAAATGCATATTAATATCAGTTGTCACTGTATATCTCCCATAGACTGTATAAAAACATGGACGTAGTGTCCGTGACGTAACCCGTAGACTTCTGACGAGCATTTTGAAGCCTAAAGTGGGCGGAGCTGGCCGTCGCCATCTTGGCAGCGCGTCACTCCCGGATAATCGAAAATGGGCAAAGAGGCAGGAGCTGGCTGCTGAAACCACGCCCACCTAGCTCGACATTGGTGACAGCAGCGGCAATCCACCTGTCACTCAAGTGGCCACGCCCTTAATTATGCAGAACTTTAAGCCTTAGTATAATTTAAACGGATGAGTTATAAAAAAATTCACTCCCCTCACAGTTGACATGAAGGGCAAAATTAGCTATATAGACCAAAATCATTTTTTGAACCAGGCTGTAAATATGTTTTTTTTCTGCTGTAAAGTTGGGCATTTTAACATGGGGAGTCTATGGGATTGACTCCCTTTTGCAGCCAGCCTCTAGCGGTCACTTAAAGTCAAAAGCCTAAAGTCACTTCCTTGTTGGCTTCACGAGAGAGAGCGGGAGGTTGCCGCTCGATATCTCCCAATAATATGTCTATTATTGCAGAAAGATGATATTTAAATGCTTAGTTTTATGATCAAAGCTCTGTGGTTTTAAAACATATAATGCAATGTAATATAATGATGATTGAGAGATGATCAAATAAATGTCCCTCAAAAGCCTGATGATCATATTTGATACTCGCATTTGAAAATAGTTTTTCAAAAAATTATGTATGAATAATCAAGCAAACCTAAGTTGCTTCAGTCCAGTAAATGTTCATCTTGAAATATTACAAACAAAAGAAAAGTTATTCTTACGGTTACTTTATAAAATCAGTGGAGATTTCACAGCAAGGTGGAGCTATAGGTGAATGTTAGTACAATTACACTAAAAGGCCTTTTGCTTGTTAAATAATGTAAACTATAAATCAGATGACAGAAGGCATGTATTAGATTGTGTACGACAGGTTTTCTAGCAAAATTTTGATCATGCTGATCATTTAGATGCCTTAGAAATTCATATATCAAATATGATACAGTACACTCTAAAAAATGCTAGGTTAAATATAGCCCAGCGCTGGGTTAAAAAGGGACAAACCCAGCTATTGGGTTGTTTTGACCCAGCGGTTGGGTTGTTTTGACAACAACCCAACTGCTGGGTCAAAACAGCCCAACCGCTGGGTTATATTTAACCCAGCATTTTTTAGAGCGTAGGCTTCATAGTTGCTGTTGGTTGCCTGTATATAAACTAAATTACTTTATTAATGCTATTTTGTAAAAGCAACTAGTCAGCTGAGTCTGGTAAAACCATTGGTAAGACTTCATATTGTGCCTTTAATCATGGTAAAATCACTGTAACTCACAGCCTCTTACGGCTTATGTTTTATTTAGCATTTTAAATCTCAACTCTTTAATATCAGCACTGACTAGTCTTGTTTTATACTTTTACTAGGTATATTCAAGGAGCTTCTTCTCCCAAGGACATGGTCATCCTCGTGGACGTGTAAGTATCCTCTTGAACACACTCTCCATCTGTCTCTCTGTGTGTCTCATATGCACTGCATTAACAAACTGTCATCGGTGTTGATACATTTGTTGTTTATGACGCCATAACAGCAGTGTGGTGCTCTTCTGCCACCTGTCGGCTGAGAAGAACATTATTCCATCTTATTAACCTTGTGCCTCAACATCAAAATGCTACCGTGTTCCTGAAATATGACTTAGAGGTTATATGCAATGAAAAATGGCATTACCGTTGCCGATATCTGAGCTGCTGGTGGAGAATTTAAAACATCCTGCGACTCTGATCTTATCTGACCTCTAAAATGCATAATCTGAAAAAACGCTTTCGCATCATACATAAACAGATATGTTTACGGATGAATTTATTGAAAGGTATGCATTGCATTTTTTTGAGTTCATAGAATTGTCGTTTTAGCTATAATGAAATGCATGATCATTTTGTTGTTAAATGCCACGTTTAGTGAATCATCGAGACCTTCTTTTGAAATCTTTTATTTATCAAACCTTAAGTGTTGGGCATTTAGAGCCATTGGTAACACTGCTGCATAGTTTAACAAATAAGTGATTGCCTCAATCATACAGCCATTATGTGCATAATCGTCAAAAAATCATTAATATTCTTAAGTAAACCTCTCTAGAAAAACTGCTTAATGGAGGTTAATTGTCACTGGCTGGCAATCCTCCATAACCTTAAATAGATACCGATGTCTAATTAAAAAATACACCAATGGCAGCTGTCGCTTTGCCAAGGCAATCTCATGCCAATCAAAAGCACCATCGCGCTGAATGTTTCTGACAATCTTAGACTAATCTCATTGTGACGACTGGAAGCATGAGACAATAGTGCTGTCACCAGGGTTTTTTTTCCCAATGTGCTCGGCTTTATTTATTAAACCTTCTAACTCTGGAAGCCAAATTACACATGAACTTGTGCTCTATGATTGCTTTTTCAATAGCTTCTGTAGGCTATTAATAAATCCAATTTGCAGCATAGAATTCAAATGTACTTTGTTTTTGTAGATCGACTGTCTCCGTTCTGTCTGTGAAGATGGTGCTTTTTAACATGCCGTCTACAATTTACTTTTGATGGATGGGGATGTGGGAGACACTTAGCAACAGGTTCTGCTTGGCAACAGCAGTTATGGGCTTGAGTTGCTGTGCAGTGCTGTTTTGAGACATGACTGGTTTGTTAGATAAATGTTGTAATGTTCAGTGTGTGTGATGCATTTGTCTTTTTTTTTAGAAGCGGTAGTGTCAGTGGACTGACCCTGAAGCTAATGAAAACCTCTGTCATCGAGATGCTGGACACACTTTCTGATGACGACTACGTAAATGTGGCTCGGGTAGGTTTTTTTATTTATTTTTTAAATAGTATCAACAATTAATGGCATAACCCCCATATTGTATATGCATTGCAATTTTATGTCCATTACTTTTTTTATCTTATTATTAATATAAATAATTATATAAAGTAAGATTTATTCATATTTATATAAAATAAATAAAATATTTATATTATATTAGTATTATTTATAATTAATTTTATATATATATATATATATATATATATATATAATATTGTATATATATCATATAGTGGTGCATTTTCTTGTAATAACCAGATGTTATTTAATTGAAACCATATATTTTCCTCTAATAACGAGATGCTAGGTTGTTAAAAGGACATTTTTCTCATTAAAACATTTCTCTTAATAACAAGATAAAGTGTCATTAAAACTATATATTTTCTCATAACATATCATAAAAATTTTAAATTTTTCTTGAGATATTACATCATTAAAACATATTTTCTTTACTTCGAATAGTAGTGTTTCCTACATTATTGTCGATGGATGGTTGCCAATCTTGACAAGAAAATTAATCTAACTTGTCGTTTTACAACAGTTTCTCATATATATATATAAATATATATATATATATATATATATTGCTACGTGTACTACGTTAAGCTAACTGAGACTTGTTATAGCACTTGCATATCATTGCTCTTTTGTTGATTTCGATTGCTTCCATTGTCCTCATTTGAAAGTCGCTTTGGATAAAAGCGTCTACTAAATTACTAAATGTAAATGTATATATATTAGAGCCCGACCGATATATCGTTTTGCCAATATTATTGGCCGATATGAACCTGTCGCAGATATATCGAATCGGCGAATATGCCGCTGCTATGAAATTTTTTTTACTGAACATATAACGCAGATAAACTGCTTCTAAATGGTGTAATTACTTAGTTTGTCCAGCAGAGCGTGCTCCATTGTTTGCTACTGGCGACTCAGGTCAGTGTAGTGTAGAGATGCCCGGATGAGCTCAAATTTCACCGGAGTCCACTGCTTCAAATTTATTTTAATTTTGATAGCCGCCCCGACCCCCGTACCCCATCGTACCAATACATAATGATTCTAATTCTTAGTTTTGCATGATGATATGATGAATGGATGGTTCATTTTTAACGGCAGATTCAGTGGCGTTAGAGCTGATCTGCGCATCATGGCACGCATCTGGCACGTCCCACAACTCATGCTTATCACATCGGTCAATCACAAGTCCTAAGTCAGCATAGTTTATCAGTACAGTCAGTAACGTAGCAGATTGAAAAGTTAGTATCTTTCTGCAGTCCAATAGACGGCAGTGCGGTGGTGGCTTGAGTCTGTTGAATGGTAATTTTACGCTACGTTGTCACCTAGTTGGAGAGACTCAATGCTAAAGTCAATAAACAATGTCCCCGTCTCTTACTCTCACAATGAGCTTATCATACTCATTTGCTACATTAGTAGGGCCCTATGATTTTCGCAATGTGGCAAACGCAGACGGAATCGCGGAATCCATTCATAAAAACGGAATTACTATATAACGCGGAATATCATGAAATTTGACATATTTTTGATGAATAAATATAAACAGGTCAGTACATTTAAATCAAATCACGATATAGACTAGTGTCTGTGAATATTCAACTGCAAAAAGACTATTTAAATACGAATACTCATGTTCTGCATGTTCATTTGATTACCAGAAAATTCACACAGAATTTGTGAAACAAATATATACTATTCATTATTATTATTTATTCATTTTAAATATTTAATTTTGGAAAAGCTGTGCTTCCTGCATAAACCTGCCCCTGTTGGATTGGCAGCTGGTTTGCCCTACACAGTTACCTTGTTTATTTTCTTAATTCAAGTTATATAGAGAGAGAGAGTGAGAGTTCTATTTGTGTTTTAAAGTTATTTATAATATAAAGTGAAGTGAAGTTTACTGTTATTGTTAAATTGTTAAATATCCTGCTTCCATTACATATGTTTGTCACATCATTATAAGCGTTTGATCACCACATTTGTGTTATCATTGCATAAAATGTGTTTATTTATATATATTCTGGTTATGTCAAAAGTTTGGGAATGGGAAGTGTATCCAAACTTTTGACTGGTACTGTACTATAAAATACACATAAAGAATATCATCCGATATATCTTTTTTTACTCCCTAATATTGGTATCGGCCCTCAAAAAACCCATATCGGTCGGGCTCTTGTATATATATATCTCGCTTGAGTGGGAATATGCTGTTGATAGTGATTACATTTGAGACAACACCAGCATTAATATTCAGTTGTGTGAATCCTCCAGGAATCTGAACCTGTATGAAAATGTACATGCAGAAAATGTAACATTTAATCTAAAGAGGGTTGATTTATTGTGATCACACAATAGCAGCCCACAAATGCAACCCACACAAGTATGCATGCACATATACACAGACGCACACACATAATGAAACATTAGCATTTTGGAAGGCCCACGCCAGTAATCCGGACTGATCCGGGGCTCTTAGTGTGTGTTTCCTAATCCCAGCTCTGAGAGCACAAAATGAGCATCATAATCTGAGCCGGAACACAGCTCATTCTATAGCCCGCTGGTCTTAGACCACATTAGAATCACTATGTGTGTTTACTGCTGTTTACCTCCAGATGCCTAGAGTAACGTGAAATCAAAATGGACCCTTTTGGCTTTTTTTAAAGCGCCATTTCAGCCAAAAATTACAATTTAGTTTGCGTTACGCACCCTCGTTTCCTTGTGAGACACAAAAAGAGCGATTCAAACTGTGCTGGTTACTCCTTTCCATTAAATTGCAATAGCAGTAGCTTCAAAAATACACCATAAAAGTAGTCCATAAAAGATTTGTGTGCACAGACTGCAATATGTCATTTTTTGCTGATAATCTTCCCTACAGTGAGCTGCGGAATCACTGAGTCAGTGAGTTGAACTCAAGAACCGAATCAGTCCGACTCAAAAGAATGATTCGTTCATGAGTCTGGGATTGGTACATTTCTCTCATGAAGACTCAATTTGTTCTCCCTTTAATCTTTTCTCTGTCAAGGAAGAGTAAAAGAGATCTCAAAGGGAATTTTCTTTCCTATAGGCAGTTTTAGAAAACATTTCTCGTTTCATTTTTGTTTGCATTGGCATTTTCTTTCCTCCGCACCTGCGGTGTGGAACCTTGTTATCAAGACTGCCGGATGTACCTCAGATTTTCACAGCTATGCTTCCTCACACACACACACATACGCGCACACACACCATACAAACATGAGGCAGACTCAGAGTCTCTGGCTGTTGTGCATCAGCAGGCATTAAATCAGGACTCATTAGTACATAGCTGCAGTGATTAGCTAATTAACAAAGGGCATATACAGACCAATGGGTAGCTAATGAAGGACAAAAAGACAGGACTAACAAATGAAATTAAAGCATATTAGAAAAATAAACAAGAATAGGTACAATAACAAATAAACTTCAATACATTGAGAAAGAAAGACTCTTTGATACAGCTTTTATCCCCCAGGTTTCACACTAATGAGCTCGTCTGGTCACTGATGAATTTACTGGTGGCTTTTAGTAATAAACAAGTTTCGTTTAGAACTATTAGTGCCTCTTTGTGTTTGTCTGCTGAATGGATCGACTCTGAATGGATTTGTTGCAGCTGCAGCTCCTCATGATGAGCACTAGATGGAGGCCTTTCTCATTATTGTGCTGCGCTTCCTCACACACACACACACACACACACACACACACACACACACACACACATACACATATAAATGCTTTATGCTGAGTTCTGTGCAGTCAGTAAGTAAAGCCGTACTGATGTGAAAGGTATTTATGGAAGCTTGTTTCCGCCATGGGATAAAAAAAAAGTTAAAAAGTTAATTTGCACTTTTTTATTTTCCCATTTCGGCCTTTTTTTTGGCACCTCTGAGTTTATA